AAAAAGTATAGTTCCCTTTGGGATTTTTAAAACTATTATTTTTAAAACTATTGATTGTGAAATCAATTTAACTTATACAACTCACCTGTAGTTTGTCTTCTGGAACATTCAACCAGTGATTAAAAGCTTGGGAAAGTTTAGTTCTGACCTGCTTACCTATGATTTTAAAAAGTACATAGATAATACTATATATTTTCATTCTACATAATCTATTTGTATTAAGTTCTAGGAAATGTATTAAATGAATAGGGATAGATAGTTTTCAATCAAAGCTTAAGCACAAAACTTCAATATTTCAGAAATATTTCACACTTCAAACAATTATAATTTTTAAAAATGTATTGTATAACACCCACTGTAAACATTCTGTGACCGTTAATTTTAACACAATTTTAACAATTAGAACTGATAATGCCATACTGAATGAGTTTGACATTTTTGGAATAAAGACTCAGGCAGATGAACTACCAGTTTATTTATAGACCATACCTTATTATATTGTGAATCATTACCACTGACCTGTGTTCACTCAGCAGAACTTTACACAGGACAGCTGCAATTCTTAATACCCGCCAAAGAACTGTAATCAACATATTTTATCAGCATAATATTGGTACACTATCTCCTATTAACTCCAAATCACTGCCACCAGAAAGCTGAATCCTGTATGTAGGCCAGAGGTAGTATTCACCAGGTTCTGACCAGTTCTAGAGAACTGGTAGCGGAAATTTTGAGTAGTTTGGAGAACCAGCAAATACCACCTTTGACTGGAGATTTTACATTATCCTTCCCCTGCCATGCCCACCAAGCCACACCCAGAGAACCGGTAGTAAAAAAATTTGAATCCCACCACTGATCTAGGCTTACCTAAAAATCTTACAGTAGGAAGCCTTTTTAAAAACCATTTCCCTGAAAATACAACCTATCCTGAAAGTAAGTCCTAGCTTGACTTTTATACGTGCAATATAAGCCCTACCTCCAAAATAAGCCCTAATTAAGATCCTGCCCACTCCAGAGTGCATGGATAAAAATTAAGCTAGGGTGGGGATGGGAGGGGGTAGAGCTGCCATACTTCCTTTGGACAACTGTAGCCAGGCCTCACACAACCCAACACCTGCCTTGCCAGCCCATTTTGTCTGCAGCAGGCAAGGCTGGCAAGGCTTTCCTGAAGGCCTCTGTAGCTGATAACGAAGTTCCGGATCGATCTAGAGCTCTGTTATTGGTTGCAGAAGCCTTCAGGAAAGCCTTGCCGGCTGCAGAAATTCCTGAAGGCCTCTGACCGCAAAAAGGAGGCTGGGGGCAACACACACAAGTGAGGTTAGTCAGTGGATGATATCGCCCCAAAATAAGACCTGGTGCCTTTTTTGATGGCAAAAAATAAGACAGGGTCTTATTTGGGGGGAAAAATGCATTGTACCAAACTTTAATATCTGGGACTTTCCAGAAGGAAGGACAAGGGAATTTTTCCACTATATCAGATTTAACCTCAACTTTCATAAACTGCAATTTTTGTTAGGGCAAACTCAAAAGTCAAAAAATAAGCTTTCAAGAATTCTAGAGCTTTCCAGGATGCTACAAAAATACAGGAGAAAAATCCGACTTCACATAGGACTCTGTAAAGCTACAATTAAAATAGGGGACAGATTTTAAAAGCAAAGTGGTTGACACCTTTAAAAAAATATTTGCTCTATTATTCTTTTTTCACTTTATATCCTGGGGCTTGTCCTGGTAAAAAGGGCAAGAATTGAAAGAGCAATTTCAATCCCTGGCTGCTCCCTTCATCCATTCCTTTTGTTTAGTAGACCACAAAAAATAGTTAAAAGTCTATATATTTAATAATAAATGCAACTATATTATGGCTTTGCATAGTGTGTATCAAGCTATTAGCTAATAAACACATTAAAGCTTAAAATTATATTCACATTCTCTATCCTAAACATGAAATTTTTTTATATTTTGCTACATAATAGACAAAATGTAAATTAAAAGTTAAAATTCTAACTTTTTGAATCACCCCTTTCTTTTTCCAAATACACACAGAGTGATGTCACTGATTTTAAGTGAAAGATTAGCATGTATCCCACAATAATATTTTAAATAATTGAGATTAGTATTTAATCCATAATCTTGACTTTTGTATAGTATTTGCAAAACACAATGGGTAGATTCACATATTCCACTAAGCCACACTTTATTAACAAAATACAACTTGAACGTTTTATACAACATCTTAAATGAAAAACATTTTATATTAGGCTAGGTTCATACAATGCTCAAAGCAGTTTAAATTCTGCTCACCATATATAAGTGATTTGCAAAAAGAAACTGGATTTTTTAAAAGTATTTTATTCCATGTTTGTTACTATCACTTAATGCAGAAACTTGTTTATATTTGACTGAAAAAAAGTAATGATTCAACCATTATCAATTTGCTCATCTGCAAGACAGATTGATTCCCTCAAGTCATTGTTAAAATAATCCTGGTTTATATGTTAAGAGACATATCACTGCAGAACAAGGGTATGTAAATTGAAAACAGAAGAGTACAAAATGATGATTAGGTACCAATAGGAACAAACTGAAAGCTGATTTAGAGAATAAAGGAAAAATGCATAGCTCACAAACCCAAGAGATTTGCTATGGCTACTCCAATTTATATATTACTTTCAAACATCACTATAATTCAAACAATAATTACCAGGGAGTTGAAGCAGGTAGTTGTACGGCTCTAAAAGAATTCTCTTGGATGAATCGTCTATTTCTTCCATTTTAAAAATGTGTTTCCCAAGCAGTGCCTTATAGTCTGAGAAAGAAAGAAAGTCAAAAAGGAAGAGAGGAAGGAAGGAAAGACAGAATAGAGCCTTTAAATATACATGACTCTGGTAATAACATATGATGTAGGCAGAAGAAACAACAGGAAATGTTTAACCCTAATCCAAAACATGTGCCAATGTAGAAGTGGCAGGTACTTTAAAGTATTTATGATGTCATTTCAAGTAACCATTAAACACACTATTCAGGATCAGTCAATCACCGTATTACTCAGAAGATACTACAATGAAAATTTTATGAGCATGTACTATTTATATACCAGTAAGTCTAATAATAATTTCATAATCCAATGTCTTATCCTTCAGACTGAAGTACTGCATATGGGATACTTAACATTCTCAAATATTTTAATAGAGTTCTTGTTTGAACTTTTCTCTTTTTTCCTTCTCTAAAGATTTTTTACTGCACTGCAGCTGCTATGCACTAAAACAATTTGTCTCAGACAATTTAAAAACAGAACCTGCAGTCAAATGACCTGTGCCAATCACACTGTTGACTTCTAGCACCTGTTTTGTAACATAATTTCTATTTCCCAATAGTTTTAGTTTTATATACTATAAAGAGAATAGTATATACTACTGCAGCATTTTAACTAATAATAAACTGACCTGATTAACAATCTACTCTAAATTCACAAAGCATCAGAATGCATGTATTGAAATGAAAACCTGAACTGATAAAGCGTCAACTCATATAAATGCACTCTATACTAAGTAGGTACCTAATATGGAATTCACAAAACGCTTGTAAGCCAAAATTAATCAATCATAAATTAACACATGATGAGCCCAATACAAGGGTGGGGCTGCACATTTGCCACTGTCCTTTTTATAAAGTAACTGTAAATTTGTGATTAGAAATTTCATCAGGATTTGAACTGCAGTTCTTCATGGAATAGTAAACTTGATTCAGCACTCAAAACGATCAAACAGAAAAAGGAAGAGGTACACTTACATACAATACTGCACTGTTCCCTGTAGTCATTGGGAGTCAAATGGAAGTCATAGTACAGGTAGTCCTCCACTGTTTGTAAGAGTTCATTTAGAAACCATTCCAAATTACAGTGGCACTGGAAATTCACTTTACTATTTCACTTACTAATAAAAATTTTGGGCTCAAAATTGTGGTGGCAAGTCGAGGACTACCAGTACTGTACTTTCAAAACTTCATGTTTTGTGAATATTCTTTTAAAACTTATATACAAACTCTACTGACTTGTGTAATGAAACAGTATCAATTTAATTTATTAAACTACTGAAATCTTAAATTTGACATCGACTTCTGAAATAAAATTTCAGGCTTCTTTAACATTTGACAGTAAATAGTTAATTAAAATACTTAACCTTACTTTATCTTCCTTTCTGTTTTTATAATTAACAAAAACTTTGGACAAGATACAGAGTTTCACAATGAAGTCTGAACTTGTTTTCTTAGGCATCTTTATCTTACAATTTAAAAATGTGAGAGACATTATACTTAACTAAGAACATTATATCAATATAGGCCACAATACTCTTTAGAAACTGAATGAAAACGCACCAAAAGACAATATTTTAACTGGAGCTGCTCCTTCCTGTAGGAAATAACGAGACTTTGTACTTAAAAGAAAAATCACAAAATAGATCGTTTTCTTCTTTACACTAATCAATACTTCAAATTGAACAATAAAAGTGCTTACACGTCCCCCAACACCTATTAAACAATCCACTTGGCAAAGGAAAAAGCCAAAAAAAGCTCTTAATTTACATTGAGAGAGAACAGTCTCTCATCGACCGAGCTCGGGAAGCCGGCACAAAAGAGCCGCCTCCTTTTCCTGCCTGGTCATGAGGAAAACATCAAAAGAGGAAGAGGAGGCAAACGAGCGCGCCAACACCCTCCCTGGCTGTTTACCGAAGGGGCGATTTCTCTCGTAAAGGAGCACCGGCCTTTTCTACTGGAGCGACAAGAGACCTGACAGCAAATAGAGCGGACGGAAAGGACCCGCTGCTCGGCTCTCGAAGCGAAGGGAGAAAACAAGGATAGTGCGATTCAGCGGAGCGGCGGCTTCAACCTACCGCGGCCTCCTCGGCTTCCTCACCGGCCTCAGCCACTCCTCAGCCCGCCTCAATTTAGTAGCGAGAAGCGCAAACCCAACCCCTCCCGCCTAGACCGCTCCTCCGCCCGATGGAGGGAAAATGCGCCACCGGGGCCTGTTAGCGCAGGCGCGGACTCCTCCCCTCCTCCCCCCCTTTCAAGAAGCCCTCGTCGTCTCTCTCTCATTCTCCCCCTCCATTTTCTCATTCTCCTCTTCGCCCTCCGCGAGGCATTTCGGGAGCTGTAGTAGCGGCGAAGAAAAACTCCCTCATAGACTGCGGCAAATGGGCGGGACAAAACCATGCTACCCAGAAGGCGCTACGAAGCCGAGTCTCTGTTTCCATAGAACTGGAGTGGGAATTACATCAGCGTTTCTGAGGCAGCGGCTAATGGCGATGGCGAGTAGGCGGGCCGCTCGGGTGGCGCGCCAATGCGAAGCAGGCAAGGCGGGGAGAAGGCGGGCGTCGATGCGTCAATCAGGGATCGGATCGGGGGAGGGGACGGAACAGCTTGGAGCTGAGCCGCTGCTGTCGCCGTCGCCACCGGGGTTCGGACGGGAGGAAGAAGCCTCCTCTTGGCGAGCCCTCCCTGCCCCAGAGCCAGGCCGGCGATCGCTGGAGGGACGGAGGCGGGAGCGGGGGTCGGGCGATTGGGCCCGGCGTCGAGAAGAGGCTCCGTCCTCCTCGCTCCCCCCCTCCCCCGGCAGGTTTGGGGGGGGACCAGCGAGCGGGCGACAGCCGTGGAACAAAAGGTAACGTTGCCCCGGGGAAGAGGCTGCGGGGCCCCGGCCCTGGGCGTTTCGCCGAGCTCCCCGTGGAAGGCCGAAGCCTTTCGGCGGGGGGGATCGGAGAAGGAGCGAGCGAGCGACGCGCTTTTGGGATTGTTGTTTTTCTGCTGGTTGAGGCGGCGGCGGCGGCTGCGCTCGTCGCTTCGGCTTCCCGAGAAGCGGGACCTCCGAGCCTGGGAGGAGAGAGCGGAGAGTCCCGCGGCCGGCTTCGGAGGGAGGCGTTTCCCATCGCCGCCCCCGAGCGTCCCTTCTCCGGCTTCCCGACCAGCTCGGCTGGAGCCCGGAGCTGCGGCTGTTGCTGAAACTCCGTCCGCGGAGTCAGCCCGGGGGGAGGGGAGGGAGCCTGGTGGGGGTGGGGGGAGCGAAGTGGGGCCACTTTTGCGGGAAAGAGCGGGGATGGAAAGAAATTGACGGGAAAGAGAGCTGAAAATCCCTTTCTGGTGCTCCGGCTAATATGATTCCTTTAGCACTTTATTTTCTTTATCTGGCAATATTATTAGGTTTCTCGTGTACGCAAATGAATATTCTGTACGCGCAGAACGTTTCCGCGCTACCTTGAAATTTGTGCAGTATTTCTGACAGATTCCTAAGATAGCTGCAAGTGATTGGGAGCTCAAGAATTCATTTCTCTTTAGTAAAAATCATTTTGGCTTACTCTTTTCCTTGGGAATATACTTTGGGTAGTCCTTGATTTACAACCATTCATGTAGTGACCATGTGAGGTTACAACAGCGCTGGATTGATTACTGTTTTCCACACTTACCACCGTTGCAGTCTCTCTATGATGAAGTGATTAAAATTCAGGTGCTTGGCAACTGGTTCACATTATGCAGTGTCCTGGGGGCCATGTAATCCATCTTTTGCTGCCTTCTGTCAAGCAAAGTCAAGGGGGAAGCCAGATTCACTTAACAACCATATTATTAACAACTGCAGCAACAGAAATGTTGGGCTCAATGGTGGTTGTAAGCCAAGAACTAAGCTACTGAACCATAGCAGTTTGCTAAGACTGTAGGATCTAATTTCAAGATGATTACAATTTCAAGTAATGTCAAGATGAGAAAATAATTATCAAGACCAGAATATTATGCAATATAGTGATTAAAAACAACTAATAGAAGTTTTAAATAATAAGGTACTATACTGGGAGATTCTTGCTCCACAAAACAACTTTTTACAATTCTGTCCAGAAAAGTGTTCATTTGGCTAACAATTAAACACTATGAGTTAATTAACAGGGCTTTTCTAGATTTTATTATCATGGAACAGATATTCTAAACATAAAAACTGTTAAAAACTGATAAATATTGAACACTTGAAAAAATCTTTACAATTAAAACACAGATGTTAATATAGTTACCAGTTTATAATTTGTGAAGTATGCTTTATTTCACCCATCAAATATTTTGAGAATGTACAATTTGTAAAAAACTCATGCTCTCAAGCTCACTTCCAACAAATGTTACGGTTACATTTAAATACTCTGGATGCTTTCCAATGACATGCTGCACTGATAATAATAAGTTATATTAAATTAATATAATAATTTAATGTGCTTACTGTTTAATAAAATGTTTAGAGCAGGTCTTTCTTTTAAAAAAATATAGAATTAGTAATAATACATAAAGCCATAAGCCTTCAGAGCAAATTTGGGAGGCATTCAGTAAGGAATTATTTTAAGTTAGGCACTGGCAACCACCAAACTCAATGCAACTAATAAAGGAGACAAAACTTGACACCTGCCCTACTGCAGAACTCAGCTGGCTTAATTAGGACCAATACTTTTGCACTTGAAGTGTTTACTTTTTCTGTTAATTGAAAAATGAGGACATCTATTTATGGAAATAACACATGTCTTCATGAGTTAGTTAGCTCATGAAATAGAGTTTCTTCTTTCCACAGTATAGTAGGCTGGAATTTCAAGAAACCAGTCTTGAGCTTGTGTTTGTCTTTCTCAGGAATATTGGTCAGCTATATTTCTGGAATTGAGTTATGAAGACTGATAAGCTGAAAAGGAGCAATGCTCCATTAAATGCAGGAACTATCTTTAGGGATAGAACCATTTAAATTTTAGGATTACAGTAAGTAAGGATTACAGGATGTTCAGCTATTTGACCTTGGTATATCACTTTAGGAATGCCACAGAATGGTAAGGACAATGGGCATTTTTTCCAGCCAAGAATCACTTCATTATTGTCAATATTTGGGTAGGAAGATTGATAATGCTATAATATCGCCAAAATGATACTGGATGCTTTTGTTTGAGATTTTCCCAAGCTTTTTGGTAAATAATATTTGGTAATAAAGGATTGCTCTGTTGCCAATACCAATTTTTCTACCTAAGCAGGAGAGAGAGGTATAAAATTATTTGATTTTTCAGCCTGAAATAGATGCTAGTTACGAAGGCTCTGCAATGCTTTGAGTTTCCAAAAGGTCCTTCGGCTGTGAACATACATCTGTCTGTGGCTACATCTTTTCCCAGGATCATGTGATATTGGGAGAAATGCATCTATTTTAAAGAATTATAGAGTGATGCTGTTTCTGCTCTAAATTTTGGAACTGAATCTGTAATATCACCAGCTGTGTTAATTATAAAAAACGGTTACATTCTGCAAAAGTAGCTATTTAACCATTTTTTGTTGATTTGTATAAATAGCTGGCTTTATATTAGCTTTTCTATTTTTAAAATATGTAGTTTATTAAAACATTTGTATCAAGTATATTTTTATGTATGTGTGGCAGTATCAGCCAATTTGTAGTATCAAGAGTGAGCAAAATCCAAACCTAGCTAAAAGTATTATCTGAAGTGAGAAAATGGGACTCCAAATAGAGGGGGCATAAATGTAATGTTATATTGATAAAACCACAAAAATTAAGATCAAAATATTATTTGGCATAGTCCTTCAGCTAACAGAATTATGTTTTATAATTATGTGTTTATGTGGGTGTGCCGGAAACTGGAAGAGGAACTCCCCCAGAGCACATGTGCACAACGGCCAGCTGGTCCTTGCATGCACATGTATGCTAGGCAGTTGGTGTTTGTGCATGTGGGAGCGCCGGAAAATGAAATGTCATGTGATTGTGCCAACTTATGACATCAGTTCCAGCTGCAGTCATTAATTACCCACATTCAGTAAGTTAATATCAAGTGACCATGACCAACAACTCTCTGACGACCCCCCCCCCCCAAAAAAAATATTTATTTGCTTCTTGGAAGCTGGCTGTGAAGGTCACAAATGTTGATCATATGATTGAGGGATTCTGCAAACAAAAATGCACATTGCCAAGCATCGAAGTCATGATCACATGACTGGGGATGCTATAACAGCTACTGTTTTGAGGACAGGGTATAATATTCCTTTTTCAGCACCATCATAACTTTGAATGGTTGCTGAATGAATGATCAGTAAATTAGGACTTCCTGTACTTTGCTTTAGCAATAGGAACTCTTGTCAAAAGCCTTCAATGTAGCATTGTGGTTTGGGGGTAGTACCATCCTTTATCCCTCTGATGATATTCTCTCATCTTAAAAAAATAGATCATGATGTACTATTTTTTGATATGTCATACAATCAGAATTAAGTCATAATTAAATGTGATTACAAATCAAAATAATTGATTTTGAAGCTATTTTAATTGACTTTTGTCACATGATTTTGTATGTAACTGAAAATTGAAATTTCAAAGTAATATACTGTATGCACAAATCTCCAGTTACACCCCTTATGGTCGGTTTCAATACAATTCATATGAGCACTTAGATATTGTAAAACAAATCTAATTTTTCTTGATCCTTTAAAAATCATTTCCAGAAACATTAAATTGATGTTAGTTTTCATTGTCCCTGAACATTTTGCTTAAGTATTCAATTAATGCTGTAAGTTCAGGGTTGCCCCCAAGCAATCCAATTTGTTTATAAGCTTCAGACTCAAGTTCTTCTAGTGTTTTCCGGGTATATTCAAAGGAGCCCACATTCTCAAGGTAATGTACACAGTATTTTTTTATATCCACATTTTCAGTTCTCTGTCGCAGAATATTTTGAACCTGTGTGCTCTCTGGCCTGGACCATATTGCATGAATAGTTGGGAATGAGAACTTTCCTTCAGTTAGGTCTTCACAAAAGCTTTTGTTTTCACTATATTCTTTGGAGTGTAAATTTGCATAATCATCCCTAATTTGAAAAAAGAGCCCAAGAGTGTTAAGGAGTGGTTTCAGATCATTTTTATAACTGGAAAATAACTGCATAAGGCCCACGGCTAGTCCAAAAAGGCCACCTGTCTTTTGCAGAACCATGGTTTTATATGCTTCTTCTGTAGGACAGGTATATGTATCTCTCCAGTAAATATCGAAGCCTTGGCCCTTATGGAGTTCAAGTAATTGACGGGTGAATACTTTTACAGCATCCGGATGATCAAGCGTTAAAACCTTTTGTAGACCAAGGAAATATACAAAGTTTGCACAGTTTATCACATACGGTATTCCATAAATGCTGTGGGCCACTGGAAAACCACGTCGTAGCTTTGAATTGTCTTCTATGTCATCTATAAGCAAACTTGCATTGTGCAACATTTCTGTCACTTCAATTATGATCTAATAAAAAAGACAAACACACTTTTATATTGCTATTCTTCTATATTTAGATTCCCTGATTATTTCTATTTTCATTTTTGCAATATGTCAATTCTCTCTGCTAATTAGGCTCTTAATTCCATCTTACTGACTCTGTCATTCCCACTGGGACCATGTATCCTATTGTCTATATTTCTATATATTTGTTTATATAGAGAGGCTTTTTAGTATGAATGTACTTATACAATAGTGACAGATTACCTCTATATGCACAATAACTCACAAATGAAAACATGATATACTGTATATACATACATCAAATGTAATACACCTGACTACAGAATTAATGTTTATGATATTACAACACACATATAATGTTAAGTCTTGTGATTAAAGTATTTAAAATGTTTGAAAACTGCAATCAAGAAATGAATGCTTTGGCTTGGCATCATAACCAAGTTAATTGTGTTCATCAACCCGCTTTCATCATATTGCTTATAGAAGCAGCAGAAATTTATTTGATGTGACACAAATAAGCAGTTTTCTCATGCCCATATATCAGGAGACTTGAGGGACAAATGGACTATGGTATGTGTGGGAAAACTAATATCCTCACTGCATAGTACAAATTAAGAGTGCAACGTTAGGGGATTTGTTTCAAGAGATATTTTGCCCCGGTGAACACACATACCCAACATTTATCAAGGTAGTTCTCACTCATTTAGGTATCACATTAAGAGCACAAAATAAAAATGTTTGGAAAACCAAAACTGTTCTTTTCTTTGCTAACATTTTGTTGCAGTATATCACAATCTGAAGCAGTTGCAGAGCACAATGTTTTGCCACCAGAGGTTAACATGCTACATTACTATAGTAACGTTAGTTTCAATATTTAGGTACAAACAGAACAAGAAAAAGTATAGTTCCCTTTGGGATTTTTAAAACTATTATTTTTAAAACTATTGATTGTGAAATCAATTTAACTTATACAACTCACCTGTAGTTTGTCTTCTGGAACATTCAACCAGTGATTAAAAGCTTGGGAAAGTTTAGTTCTGACCTGCTTACCTATGATTTTAAAAAGTACATAGATAATACTATATATTTTCATTCTACATAATCTATTTGTATTAAGTTCTAGGAAATGTATTAAATGAATAGGGATAGATAGTTTTCAATCAAAGCTTAAGCACAAAACTTCAATATTTCAGAAATATTTCACACTTCAAACAATTATAATTTTTAAAAATGTATTGTATAACACCCACTGTAAACATTCTGTGACCGTTAATTTTAACACAATTTTAACAATTAGAACTGATAATGCCATACTGAATGAGTTTGACATTTTTGGAATAAAGACTCAGGCAGATGAACTACCAGTTTATTTATAGACCATACCTTATTATATTGTGAATCATTACCACTGACCTGTGTTCACTCAGCAGAACTTTACACAGGACAGCTGCAATTCTTAATACCCGCCAAAGAACTGTAATCAACATATTTTATCAGCATAATATTGGTACACTATCTCCTATTAACTCCAAATCACTGCCACCAGAAAGCTGAATCCTGTATGTAGGCCAGAGGTAGTATTCACCAGGTTCTGACCAGTTCTAGAGAACTGGTAGCGGAAATTTTGAGTAGTTTGGAGAACCAGCAAATACCACCTTTGACTGGAGATTTTACATTATCCTTCCCCTGCCATGCCCACCAAGCCACACCCAGAGAACCGGTAGTAAAAAAATTTGAATCCCACCACTGATCTAGGCTTACCTAAAAATCTTACAGTAGGAAGCCTTTTTAAAAACCATTTCCCTGAAAATACAACCTATCCTGAAAGTAAGTCCTAGCTTGACTTTTATACGTGCAATATAAGCCCTACCTCCAAAATAAGCCCTAATTAAGATCCTGCCCACTCCAGAGTGCATGGATAAAAATTAAGCTAGGGTGGGGATGGGAGGGGGTAGAGCTGCCATACTTCCTTTGGACAACTGTAGCCAGGCCTCACACAACCCAACACCTGCCTTGCCAGCCCATTTTGTCTGCAGCAGGCAAGGCTGGCAA